GACTCGTGCGCGTCGCCGATTCGACCGGATCGATGCAGAGTACCTGCACGCGGCTCGCCCGACAACGCGCCGATCGATCCACACCTGCTCTGCTGCCAGATCTGGCGGTGGCCGGATCTCGCTCACTCGTCGGAGCTCAAGAGACTTCCTGTCTGTCATTCCGCTAAAGACCCTGTATACATATGCTGCAACCCTTACCACTGGAGTCGGCTCTGCAAACCCGGTGAGTACTCTTTCCTATCTTCCTATCTTCATTTTCTATGCTTCTCCCTCTTCCTCCACAGGCGATTCCTCTTACTTAAAGAAATTCGCCTCTTTGGAAGGATTACGAGTCGTTAAAGAATTGATTCGTAAATGGGAGACCACGATACGATTCGCGAATTATTTATCATCGCGTGGAAAATAATTTATTTCAAACGCTGCGAGGCGAACGCCACTCGAGCGCTTTGGCGCGAAATTTGAAAGACGCGAAAGGTGGGGTCGATCAGTTTAGCCCGTAAGGGGCTTAAATATGGCAAAACAGGATTGGTGTTTAATTATAAATCGTTTTTCGTATAGACTGAACAGAGATGCATTGAAAAATGCGCGTTTTAGGAAACGCTTATCGAAATTGATATATCTTCCTTGAAAGTGAAAATAACTTCGCTCTGCTTCCGTATTTTATTTTCAAACGCGAGTAATCTTACGCGAGAGATTTATTTTGTAGGAATAAGCAGTTATTACGCGCGTTTCAGTTTTATCGAAAGAGGAAAGTCGAAATACCTGTGTAAGGTATTTTTCGAGAAATTCGCGAGCTGCTGAAAGCGTTAATATCGCGTTTATGGTGTGTAATACGTTTATGGGTTTGATATATAAGTATATATATACCTTTTGTGCTTTGATTTGACTCTCGTAGCGAAACTCGATGAAATATTAGCAACATAGTTGTACATTATATATGATGATTATGATAGTTTATAAGGATGTCTCGTATATCAATGCCGTTTTACATGGATATTACGAAATATCGTGCCAGAAGAGGTTAATTCTCTAGAGTGTGATTAATACTACTAATTGCATACGATTGGGAAATATTCTTTAAATCGTTTTATGCAACGTTTGAACTTAGCAACGTTAATTAAGGTTATGCTTAAGATTATCCAAGGATAAATTGAAATACGTAATTACTGAAATACGTAAAACAGATAGCGATTGCGACGCAATAAAAATTGAAAAAACATCTTTTGTCTTGATTATACGTAAAACGCAAAGGTTAGAAGATTATGGTAGTATTATTTTTAGAATCTCCCCTGCTTGACAATATTTTTTACTCTTTTCTTTGACCTGACTTACAATTTTTTTTTTTTCTTATCGATGTAATATTTTTTTAATTCCAAATTAGGTTCCTCGAATGTTTTACGAGTATCTAGAAATTTCTTTAAATTTCTCTACTTACTGTACCGCGAATGATTAAAAATTTCACATCGATATTTCAATTCTCGTAAAATTCCTTATAAGTCTGGCTATCTAATAAATTTTTGAAATCTCCATCTGTATTGCACCACAAACGTCATAAAATTTCACAGTCATTTAATACACACAGCACGCTATACTCCTTATTGTACAACATTTCATTTTTCCAGTGTGGTAAATAAAAATAGAGATGACCTTATAATACTGATAAGTTTGGGGCAATTGTTATGCTTTGAATATTGATAATTTAATTATAGAGATGAAATAATGCGCTCGCTAATAGATTTCATTTGTTTTCATTCGTTCAGTGCAAATGACGTTAATACATGTGCCGGTAATTATGAAAGTGCCCTAAGTTCTCTATACTTCGTCCCGAAATATCAAAAATTCCATGCTCCAATGCATCGCAAATTAAAAGAAAATAATTACCAAGAAAATGCAAACTTCATCAAGCGATTCAACTTTCCGCCATTTTAACGGAAATTTTTTATATATAGAAATAACCCATGGTGTTGAAATGGACGTAGGAAATTTATGGCGTGTCCTGAAAGGGTTTAGATTGTGGATAGAAATGGACACCGATATCTTCTACGTTTTTCAACAGTTAACACATTAGTATATTTAGATAAAAATATTTAAATAATGAAAACGACTCGCGATAAACTATTTTAAACAAAAAATTGATTGACACTTTCTAGAAAATTCTTCTCTCTCTCTCACTCTTATTAATCGTTACATACCCATGTTTCCTCTTTGACGATTCTCACGTAACTGTTTTATCCTGGCACATTCTTCTGAACAATTTTTCAAACATTATTCATACTAGACTACACTCGTACATATTATATTTATACCATCGCAAATGAGTTTCACTTATTCAACCTCATTCGCATTCACACATATGAAACCAACACTCATACTTGTCTCCTCAGTGGGGCTATAGTGGTCATCAGTGTCCGGCGATACTAATTTTTCAAATTTATATTTGTTTTATTCTGACCAATTTTTGAATATTTGAACAACGTAAATAAATAGAAGACATTAATAATTTGCACCATATTTTTTGCGATATTGTTTGAAAATTCCTCATTATATCCCTTTGTACTGGTATTAACCCTTTGCACTCGGCGATTTTTTCATCACGGAAAGATAGTAATTGCCACGAAGTCGAGGATATTTTTAATAAAACGGTAAATAAGAAATCGTATGCAAATTAAGACGTGGAATTATTTTACCTCGACATTCCACGCATCGTTGAGTAATTTTAGATTTGATATATTAATTAACATCGATCTTTTGAATGTGATTAAATGGCGACTGGGGTTAGTCCCCTAGGAGTAACTAGGGTTAATCCCTAGCTCGATATCGTATCGAATTTCGCTTCACTCTGGAAGACAGGGAATAATTTATCTCGATAATCATTGGCTAATTTAACAGGTTCATTAAATATTCGAGTTCTTTGAATATCCTATTTTTATTGGAAAATTAAAATCGCGCGTAATTTCAACGTATCCACGCGCGGGACGTTTATTCCCTATTAAAAGCATAGAGTGATACACTATTTGTCAGGATTGACAAATACGGGCACACCGCGTTTAAATATCAAAAGCCATAACCGAGGCTGACTTTAAGCGTCGTTAAGATGTCTCGGGAAATCAGCTGTCACCACCATAAATTCCAAGAACAGCAGATTTACGAAGCCATCCGCGTGTACGTATAATCCTATGAAGACGTCGTAAATAGAATAGAATTCCAATAAATTAGCAAAGCCTCGGCAAACAATGGCGCGTTATTGTCCCTGGCAGTCGATCCAGAATTATATCGTAAATTGTCATCGGTGGTGAATAAAACTGTTCGTCGAATGCAGAGATTCCTTGAACGAGAACGCGTGTACGAGATCGAGGCGAGGCTGATGGACACCGTGATACCGGGGGTACCGATGTTAGGCCACTGATGGCCCACAACACTCATCGGGAAACCAAGAAATTTTTATTGTAGAAATAAAAATGTTTTTCGTCGTGGTATTGCAATTGCGATTGACGCTAAAATTTTGAATTTGAAATATATATGTACATATAAACGTAGTATACATTGTATACTAGTTGTACTATACTATAGTACATGTTATGCATATAGTATATATATAGTATTACAGCATTATATATTATATTATATTATATATATAGTACTATAGTGTTATGTATATAGTACTATACTATAAACATTGTATATCGAAAATATTTGTGAAATTTCACCACGAGTCTCGCTCGTGTTGTTTAAGTTTGGCCCCATATACTAACCACGTCTCTCGCACGTCATATTTACGTTCGGGCTGATATGATTACCACGAGTCTCACACGGTGATGTAGGCGAAGGGGTTAATACTAAATTAATTATTACCTACAGTATATTGAATTATATCAAAGAACATTATTTAATAACCAATCAGTTGATCAACTCGGTACAAATGGAATACAAATCGTATATAACAAATACTAAATACAAATATCAATATTTAAGTAACTATTACTTACATTAGAACACAAAAAATATTGAAAAATCAGCGATTCAAAGAAAAATACAAATAACAGGGATTACGGATAGGTTAAACGTTAATTCGACGACGCGGCGCGTGCAGCGCTGCTTCCAGGATGCGCGAGCATCTCCGGGTTCGTTTCGGAGACGCGCGAATAACTTGGCCGCGTGAAAGGACCGAACACTGTTAACTACAGCGCGTCGCGAACGAAATGCTAATCGTTACCTGTGCGTAGCCCGCTAACGAGCCCATAGTCTCGGGTCAACGTGGAACCGTAATTTATCACCGATAGCGTGGAGGATCAGCCGATGTCCAGCTGGTCGGGTATCCTAGGTAAATGGGAGTACACGCGTTCGTGGACTGAATACCGTCGCTGCTGGCGTGCCGCGTTTGAATGCGCGCTGCCTGCGCTCTTCTCTGGCGAAGGCTGCGCGCGCAGCAAAAGGAACAAGAGCGGAATAGTGAATGGTATCGATACGTGTAAATGTTCTTGATTGGGCTCGCGGTAGCAGTCGCGGGCAGCGTTAAAAGTAATAAATTTTGATGAAAGCGGACGTTTTGCATCGCCACGGGAATCTGCAATGAAGCATGGCTTTTGTGCCATTGTCTGTCAGAATGGCGTGAACTGGACGAGAACGAGCGCGAAAAATCGCTTGACGTATTTATGCCGGTTCGTGCACGCGAGATATAATGCGCGTTTCTGGACAATTCGGAGCGATTCCAGTGACAGACGGGTATATTCGTTGTCGGTGGCGACCGTGCTCGTCCGGTTTCGAGCGTTCCCTGCACACTGGATGTGACTGTACTACTTTTCTTAGGCAAAATGTACTTGCATGTGCCATATAAATAATTTAGAGGAAAAATTGCCAATTTGCAAATTGATATTCCCTCATTAGCAACGAATTATAAATTCATATTTTCAACCTCGCGTTGTGATATTATGTTGGTATATTAATAATATAAGGATCATTTTTGCAACGAAGGTTTAATTGGAAAATAATAATTGCAAATAATAACTGTACTGCTTTTCTTAGACAAAATATACTTGCTATGTGCCATTTTTTTTTTTTTTTTTTTTTTTAGTTATAATTTATAATACCTGATTTATTAATATTATAGTATTATATAGCATAATGTAATATTATAATATTATAACATTGTATGATGTAGAATGTATAATTTATCACACAATGATTTGAGCTTGAAATAATTTAAGAGAAAAATTGCCAATTTGC